CCCCCATGCTCCTGCGAGCTCGTTGGGGTGGAACTGTACCCTGTCCCCATCCACATGTGCACCTGCTGCAGCAGTGGGGCACTGCCACCTCATGCCCCCTCCCCTCCCCCTCCAGGTGACCGGTACTGGCTCTTCCGAGAAGCCAACCTGGAGCCTGGGTACCCACAGCCCCTGGTCACCTATGGGCAGGGCATCCCCTATGACAGCATCGACACGGCCGTCTGGTGGGAACCCACGGGACACACCTTCTTCTTCCGTGGGGACAGGTGAGTGTCTGTGGGGTCCTCCTCCCTGCTCTGCCCCCTCCTGGCCCCTGCCAGGGATGGGCATGGCAGGTGGTGGAGACCCCCCCCCGTGCTCCTCACTGCCTCCCTCCCCCAGATACTGGCGCTTTAATGAAGACACCCGCTCAGTGGACCCTGGGTACCCAAAGCCCATCTCCGTCTGGGTGGGCATCCCTCCCTCACCCAAGGGTGCTTTCCTCAGCCCGGATGCCTGTAAGTAGAGAAGAGGGCTGGGTGGCCGGGGAGGGGGTCACCCCTCTGATGACCTGGCCGTGTGGGATGGAGACTGAGGGGTGCCTGGGATTCAGCAGTGAAGCCCTTTCTGAAGGGTTTCATCAGTCCTGGAGCAAGATGTCTTGGGCATCTGCAGGGGTGCACAGGTTGTGAGGTGCCCTGTACCTGCCCACTTATCCCTTGCCTCCATCTTCTCCCCACCCCAGCTTCCACCTACTTCTACAGAGGCACAAAGTACTGGAAATTTGACAACGAGCGGCTCAAGACGGAGCCAGGTTATCCCAAATCCATCCTACGGGACTTCATGGGCTGTCACACGGAGCTGGTCCCCGATCCCCATCCCCGCTGGCCTGATGGGGACCAACCCCCCTTCAACCCCAACGGGGACGGGCAGTCCGAAGGCAAGGAGGGGGAAGAGGAGGAGGAGGAGGAGGAGGAGGAAGATGAGGAGGATTACGGTGAAGGCGGCCACCGGCCAGGCGGGGACGTGGATGTGGTGGTGCAGATCGATGAGTACACGCGTACCATGAGCGTTGTCATGGTGCTGGTGCTGCTGGTGCTGCTGCTCTGCATCCTTGGCCTCATCTATGTCATCGTCCAGATGCAGAGGAAGGGTGCACCCCGAATGCTCTTGTACTGCAAGCGCTCCTTGCAGGAGTGGGTCTGACCCTGGCTCCCTCCCCCAGCCGCCCCCACCACCATGGTGCTAACGATGGACCTGGCCTCCCCCTCCCGCTGCCCCCCCTGCAGCCTCATCCCCTCTGCCCCACCGTTGCTTGATGGCTGCAGCCTCAGAGAAGGGGGATGCCCACCCTTCCCCGGCCCCTCCAGA